TTTTTGATATCCAGATGTTATCATCCCGAAGTATTTGGAATGATTGTTAAATTAGAACTGCATCACTTCTCAGATGCTAGCAGCCGAGCATATGGTGCGTGTTCCTATCTCAGATTTGAGAATGGCAAGGGTGAAATACATTGTGTTTTGATCATGGCTAAAGCTAGAGTCGCTCCTTTGAAAATTACAACCATTCCTCGTCTCAAGCTTTCAGCTGCACTGGTTGCTGCAAGGTTGAGTGTTCTGTTAAAATCAGAACTTGACATGAAGATAGACGCTGAGACTCACAAGTAGTGTTGTCATATATTAATAATGAAGCCTGACGGTTTCAAGTATTTGTAGCAAATCGGGTTCAAATAATTAGAGAGAAAACCAATCCGAATCAATGGAATCATGTTGACACTACTGAAAACCCAGCAGATCATGCATCGAGAGGGTAAACTGGCTCTGAGATTTTAACAACCAATTGGCTAACAGGTCCTGAATGTTTGTGGGAAAAGAAAATTAACCAGGGGTTTAAATTTTATCCTGATCTTTTAGAGGGTGACCCAGAGGTTAAAGCTATTCAAACATTTGTGACAACAGCAAATGACACTGCAGATTTTTTGGAACGTTTCACTAGGTTTTCATCTTGGTCAAAATTGATTAAAGTTCTTTCCAGAATCAAAAGACTTGGATGCCACAACAAATGTTATTCAAACGTGGTGAGTGTTAAAGAACGTGAAGATGCTGTTAAATCAGTGGTGAAACTTGTACAAGATCAGGCTTTTGGCTCAGAGATGAGGTTGTTAAAAAGGGGAGACATCCTTCCACGTTCTAGCTCTTTGTTCAATTTGAATACTATTGTAAAAGATGGACTGCTGCGAGTTGGTGGACGATTAAAACATTCATCTCTTAGTGAAGATTTTAGATATCCACTGCTTTTGCCAAAACACAGCCATGTTACTCATCTTATTTTGTCTTACTGTCACAATCAAGTAGGTCATCAAGGCAGAGGTCCAACTCAAATGCAGCTCCAGGTTAATGGGTTTTGTATTATTGGCTGCAGCAGGTTTGTGGCTCAGATGATTCATAAATGTGTGCAGTGCAGGAAGATCAGACGTCCAGTGGAAGAACAGCTTATGGCTGAGCTTCCAAAAGAACGCTTGGAAGCATCTGCACCATTTACCTATTGTGGAATGGACTGTTTTGGTCCTTTTGTTGTTCAAAGAAATCATAAGGAATACAAAAGCTATGAGTTATTGTTCACCTGCCTTTTTTCGAGAGCTGTTCACATTGAAATGTTGGAGGATTTGTCCACAGATTCTTTTATTAATGGCCTGCGTTGTTTCATTAGTTTGAGAGGAGCCGTTCGCCAGATATATTGCAATCAGGGAAGAAATTTTGTAGCAGCCCAAAATGAGTTGAAGCAATTTGGTCCTAAATATCTGGAGTCTTTCCTTGCAGAAAACCAATGCGAGTTCATCTTTAATGCACCATCAGCAAGTCATGCTGGTTGTGTTTGGGAGCGTCAGATACGAATCATTCGAAATGTGTTAGCTTTTACTCTCTCACAAAATTTGGGAAAACTTGATGATGCTTCATTAAGAACTTTCTTTTATGAAGCCATGGCCATAATTAATAGTCGTCCTTTAAAACTAAAGGGAATGAATGACCCTGGTTCTCTTGAACCTTTAACTCCTAACCATCTGCTTCAAATGAAGTCTGAGTCTGCCTTGCCTCCTGTAGGGAAATTTGTGAGGGAGGATATCTATACCTCAAAACGTTGGCGCCGTGTGCCGTTTCTGGTTGAGCAGTTTTGGAGTCAGTGGAAGAGAGAATACCTCCAGAATATTTCCATCAGACAAAAATGGCATGTAGTTCGGCGCAATTTAAAAATAAATGATATTGTAATAGTAAAAGAGGATTTTCTCCCAAGAAATAGGTGGCAGTTGGGTCATGTTGTTGAAACAATTGTTGATAGTGATGGCTTGGTTCAAAAAGTAAAATTGAGAACAGGAGAACAAAGATCAGGTAGGAATATTATTTCTAATAGTTCAGTAATAGGAAGACCGGTGCAAAAATTGGTGGTGTTATTGGAAAATAATTTGTCAACTTAATGTACACAGACAGGCGTGGTTTTAAACAATCTGCATGATTTTAAGAAAATTTTGAAATAATGCATAATTTTAGTGATAGTTCATGCATTAATGGTGGGAGTGTAATGGATTGTAAATTATTGTAAAATGAAATGTCTCAATTATTTGTAGTTTATTTAAATGAATTTCTAATATACGACTGTTTCAGATTGTTTATGTATGTTTGTCTGTTTTGGTTTGCATTGTTGGTAATTTATTTGGTTTAATGATATTTTGTAATGTTTTGGGATTTTTTTTGGTTTAATACATACCTCACAGGCTGCCGTAGAGAAAGAGGTCACGGCCTATAAAACTGGGGAATTGCAGTGAACTGTCAAACGTTTGGACTAAATGGCGTTCCCCAGTAAAGGCAGTGAGGAACGTTTTTGTTTGTTGTTGTATTGTCGATTTGTGTTTTGTATTTAAATATTTGTATTTGTTTAGTTTTCACGGTGGTTGTGATGAAGTCAAGTGACCTGGTGACCTGATGATGATCCAGCAAAATCATCAAAGCAGAAATAAAGCCAATATCACCTGTCGAGACCGGCTGTTTTTGTCCAATCACCATTTTTTTTTATTCCACAATCTTTGAAAGGTAATTAGAATACTGAAAACATTTTTTGGGAAAAAAAAGTTTTTATTTTTGAGATATCATGTGTTCACTACAGTGGACATCGGAACGCCATGCATTTGAAATTGAACCTTGATGGCAACCAGTTTGTCCCAAAGAAAATATCTGAACATCAACATAACAATAAATTTCACATGGACAAAACTGTCCATCATCACACTAACATAAATATTAGTGTGACTATCATAGCAATTCCTGCACTTACTTGCTATGATACTTCAAAAAGCAATTGCCCTTCTTGGAAACACAAAGGAACACTTTGCACTTTGTACACATCACATATGTTTTGCTTGTGGAACCAGATTTGCGACACCTCGACGCATGTGCTTCGTCCACCATCTCTGGAAGATGGATGGCACCGGAGTGTCTCAGAGCTGCATTTGGCTGTGGTTTCCACTTTTGACGTGGAGGAGTGCAGTCATCTTCGCTGTCACTTCTGATTCCTGCTTGGGCCCGAGTAATTAACTCCTCACTAAGGAGCAGTTTGAAGTTAAGCAACTTCAGTGGTTTCTTCCCCAGAAACTGCCAGTCACTCTTATACTGAAGCCATGAGTTGGTGATTGCCAGGTCAAAAAAGTGGAAAACTGCATGCACTGTCCATTTCCGAGTGCGAGAAGCCATCCTGTAGAAGCTCAACATGCGGTCAACCAAGTCCACGCCACCCATGTTGGTGTTGTACTCAGCAATAGCCAGTGGACTTAACACCTGGACAAATCTTTTGTCTTTTTTGGACCATCTTCTGCATGTGTCCTGAGGTTCAATGCCATAGGCAGAGGATGCCATGAAAACTGGCTGGTTGTCCAACCATTTTATGACAGCAACTTCAGGAGGGCTTCGTCTGACAACCATCTCTGATTCACCTCTTCCTTTCTTTTTTAAGGTCTTATCCTCTATGATCTTACAGTCCTTTGGAACCCTGTTACTCACGAGTGTTCCAGTTCCTGTTAACCCTTTTGTCATCAGGGTATCAAGGAGGTTAATTGTTGTAAAGAACCTGTCAAAGAACAGGTGGGTTCTTTGGAACAGACTGCCAAATGAAGAACAGCCTGTTCTCCAATACCATTTCCTCCTGTAACTTGGAAGGTAGTCTTACCTTTGTAGAATACAAAGTCCAAGACCAGACCAGTTGGTGCAGCCAAGACAAACACCTTCAATCCAGTTGGATGTGGTTTGCCTGGTATGTACTGGCACACTGGGTATTGATCAGTAAATGGAACCATTTGTTCATCAATGCATAATGTTTCTATTCTAGGCAGACTCAAACATCCTTGCCTTATTTTGGTCAAGAGAGGCCTGATTCTCCACAAGAAATCACTTTTTTTTCATCATCTGAAACATCAAGGTCATTGACGATCTTGATGGAGTTTTCTAAGCTTGTAAAACCGATTTCTGGTCATGGATTCGGCCACAATTTGAACTCTGGTACATGGGCTGTCTTTGGATATCCAAGACAGCCCATGTAAATGGAATTCCCAAAGAATGAAGGTCTTCAGTTCTTCAGGAGTGGTATTTAATGTTGTTCCAGACACAAGGACTTAACGTTGATTTGTGCACAGGGTCATCACTTCAAACAGTCATCTATTGCTGAAAATAATCCATTGGGGTCCAGTTTTGGCCTGTCATGGCATCATTGCTCTGAATGATGAGATAATCACTGTGTTGGAATTGGAATCTTTAAAAAAAAAATAAAGGGAAAAAAAGAACAAAATTAAAATTAATTTTTAGAGAAAAAATGATTTTTTTTTTTTAGAATAGCCTACAAACTCAAGGTATACTTCGTATTCTGTCTCCACAAAGGACACCTATTGGACTGTCTTTCTGCATCTGACTCTGCTTGCCCTGCCTGAATTTCATCCTCAAAGCTCTCTGAATCAACTTCTTCTGCTTCTGCCAGAAACATTGAATCTTCCCCTTCTTCATCAGACAACTCAATGTTTAATATGCTGCTAAGAGACTTATTTAGACTATGCCAAAATAATTTTAAACCAATATTTGCACCAAAAAATGTATTATGCACTTACTTTTTGTCTTCCCATAAAATGTGGTTGAACTGATGGACGCCATTTTCTGAATGAGGAAAAGGAAGGTTCCAAAGCCCCACCCCCTCACATTTGGTATCATTGAAAAGCCCTAAATGTCCTCTGTAGATTCCAAAAGGAATTAATTCAGTAGCATAGAATGGATGGGAGATATTCAAGTTAAGAAATGTCCTCTACAGAGGACAAATTTGAACTACTGGTAGTCAAGAGGATATACACACCTACATAGATCTTTCACGATACCTTTTAGTCAAACATTTTTAAGAATAACCTATATGCCACATGCATGCTTAAATTTGAAATCTTGAAAGACCTCCCCACCTGAGTTTGAACTGGCAGTCTCTCTAGTCCAGGGGTGCTCATGTCCAGTCCTCGAGAGCTACCATCCTGCAACTATCAGATGCATCCCTGCTCCAACACACCTGAATCAAATGAATGACTCGTTATCAGACCTGTTCATAGCTGAGCCTGGTCTACTGGAGTAAGGCTGCAACTAAAAGTTGCAGGACGGTAGCTCTTGATGTCTGGACTTGAGCACCCCTGCTCTAGTCTATTTCCACCTCTGTCACAAGCTCCAGTAAACCGCTTCGAGAGTGTCTTTGCCGTATACTTGTGTGATTCTGTAGATGCATCATTTCTTTTAAGTCCCCTGAAATAACAAGCAAAGGTAGAAATTGTATTAGTGTTTCATTTTAGCATAATGTAACATTCATGAGATTTGCACCTCCCCCTTCCTGGGGCAAAAATGCTTGCAGAGATATGCCATGATCAAAATCCAAAAATTGAAGACTCAATTTTTAACCTAAAAGATTACCAGAAATAACAAACCAAAGGCATAAAAAAACCAAAATAAATTAATATATGTTTAAGAAAGAAAAGTGGAAAAAAGTTACTCTGACAATAAAAACTGATATTTACCATACAAAACATCCAAGATTCGCAGGTCCAAGAGCTCGTTTCCAATGTCGGCCAAAAAGGCTGAACTGGACTTCCAATTCATGGGACATGAGGAATCGCACAGTCATCTAAGGATGAAGTATAATGACAATAACAAGACAACATTTTGTTTTTGTTCATCAGTTTGTTATTATATCACTCTTATGTGCTTAATTTTACTAACATATTAATCTACCTTTTTCAAATCGTTATAAAGTGATCTTCACACGCTGATGCTCTTGAAGTCTGCAAAAATATAGATTTTATTAGTGCAGTTAATGTAACATTTAGATTTATCAAAAAAATTTAAGGCAAAACAGCCTTTGTATAGATTAACCACTGAAGTCTCATATTGTAAACACTGAACACTAATGCAATTATCTTCATTTCTTTGTCACTGTGACAGGACTAAGGCAGTAGTATTAATCTTAAGAGTAGTTTAGAAAATGTCAACTGTGGTGCTGTTGATGATGATTCTCTGTAAACAATAAAGCCTAAAACATTGTACATATAAAAGAATTAGAGCTACAATTACATATAAGTACATTTCAAATAACTGCTAGCTCAATATTACAAAAATATCAAAAAGAATTTCTTCATCTTTCAATATTTGTTTCAGGCTTGGCCACTGATGACTACTCCAGTCCAACACAACAGCGCCAGATTGAAATAAACTCTGACAGAACAAAACGCTTTAAAGTGTCACACAACAATTAAAAAATTTTTAAAAGTATGAACTACAATGCCTTCATCCTATTTACAAAAAGGCTTTTAGGCCCAATATACTGAAACCACAAGGGCCCCATATAGTGTTCCCATTTCTGTCCCATGCCCAGTTAGCCCACATTAATGCAGAATGGGGCCCATACATTTAGCCCAAATGAGCCAACAATGTGGGTCCCATTTAGGTTAACCTTATGAGCCTCATTGTGTTAGCCCAGATAAAACCCATGGCCACTTATCATTACTTATATAGCCCAAAGCTAAACGATTCAATGCAGTTTTATTAAAAAAAAACTATAATAATCTTGCATGGGTGGGTCCCAGTCAAACCAGCCTGAATTCATGCATGAGACCCACCCATGCATGCTGATTTGACTGTGAGAAAGATTATTAAAAGATTGAAAGCACAACAGTTAGTCTTTTTAAATCATACAAATGGTTTTATTGTGTCCAGACACTTTGAAACAACTTCTGCTAGCAACTTAAGATTCTTTAGTGAACCGATTTTATTCTGCCTATTTGGCACTCAAATGAACCAATGGCAGCTCAGCAAATAGAATGGCGGCACTATTTGAAAATGGTTTGAAATCGCTCTGCACTAAAATCTGCTTATTGTGTGTAGCTGCGTGTGTTAACAATATCAGAAAAATTATCACCCGAAAGAAAAGCAAAAATAACATTAAGTCTCTTTTGGGGTACTCCTGTCATCCCATCTGTTACGAGCAACAATTTTTTTAACAAGCGATTTAAAATCTCTCCCTAAAATTTGATACTAGGTAAAACAGAAGAAATGTACTTACAGATTCTTTCGCAGATCAGCCAACAGACAGACTCCGCGCCAACGGACTGATGAAGAGAACAGGCTTGATTTTTGAAACCACATATCCATCCGCAGGTCATTTGACGTTTTCCAAGAAACACAAGATAAATTTTTGAGAGTGCTTCATCGGTTTAACCAATGTAAAACTGATGTAGCAAAAGTTATCGATGTAAATAAATAAATATTGTAGTCCTCCTTATTGAAATGTGCTTTGGAACTATTTTCTTCAGTGGATGTGTAACATAGTTGAAATGGTTCAGTTTAAATTCTGCTAGTATGGGTTTTATGGTTGTCCTGTGATGAGTGTTTTTTTTTTGGCGCCCCCTACTGGTTGCCTATAAAAGGAGGAAGAACTGCAGATTCCACACAGTCTGTCAGAAACTCTACTGTGGTGGGTCATCGGGTCCAGTTCCTTTCTGAACAATAGTGGTGGTTGTGTTCTGAGACTAATGTGGAGTTTTGTTGCAGTACCCAGAGTTGGCGAACCAGTAGAGAGGCTTACTGTGTTTTTGTTATTGTTAACACTCATTACAGGTAGGCTAATTATATTATGTTAAATGTCAGAAATTTATGTTGTCGGTTGTGTTGTCGGTTATTTTTCAGTTAAGTTTGTCAGTGTGTTTATTATGTTGTCAGTTTGTTGTGTTTGCCTGTCTGTCAGTTTGTTTGTTCTCTGTTTCAGTTGGAAGTTACTGTTGGATAGTTAGTTAGTTAAATTTGACTGCTGCCTATGTTTATTTTCCTGATTTTATTGATTTATAAGAGAAGTATTGTATGAATTTTATTTGAAAGTTTTGATATTAATGAAAATCCACTATACGATCACCTGTTATAAAAATGCAATTGTAGTGATTATTGTAGGACACAGTCTGTCAGAAACTCTACTGTGTACCCAGAGTTGGCGAACCAGTAGAGAGGCTTACTGTGTTTTTGTTATTGTTAACACTCATTACAGAAATTTACCCAACTGGTCTCCGCTGTGTGCTGTGTATTGGGGAGGAAGTCACAGATGTGTAAAGTGCCACTTCAATTCACCAACCGTTATTGGCAACGTTGCCTCAGAGCAAACAATGAACGAAAAGGTTAAATTGCAACCGATTAAAAGATATAAATAAATCATTAACAGAAATGTTACGTTCTTTTTTTATTTTATTTATACTGATGATTTGGAAAATGTTTGCAAATATATGAAAAAAACAGATGCTCAAAATTTTACTCTTGTTAATGAGTTTTGTTTGAATTTATTTTCTAAACATTTTGTGATATTTTTCCACAATGGTTTGATCTGAACTATTTATCCAAATAAAAATGATATCCTGCTCCAAATAGGCTACAATAAACTCTATAGAGTTTATTGGGCCTAAAAGCCTTTTTGTAAATAGGATGAAGGCATTGTAGTTCATACTTAATTTTTTTTTTTAAATAGTTGTGTGACACTTTAAAGCGTTTTGTTCTGTCAGAGTTTATTTCAATCTGGCGCTGTTGTGTTGGACATCCAATTGATCAAAGAAAATAATAATAAAATAAACAAAAGTCCACTCTGAACCATGACCTTATTCTGAGTAGCAGAATATATATACATGACACACATTTAAAACAGATGATGTCAAAAAAATGTTTTAAGATATCCAGACTGGACTGTTCTAGCATAAAATAATAAAATTTTAAAGTGTGGTGTTGAAATAGATTTTTTAATTAGCACAATACTGCACAGGATAGCCTTGATGCAAATGTAATATACTATAGAAAGTTAAAGTACACTCTACGTGCACATACATTTATATAAAAGATCCAAACTAAAACAACTGGCCACTCAGATTTTACATAAATTCTATAGAGAGGATTCTACAGAAAGACAGGCTGAGACTTTCCTTAACTCTCAATAGACAGGGAGTCTGTCTGCCAGACAATTAACAAATTCCTTAGTGTGGTTCAAAAGTTCACTAGGATCTTAAAACTTTTTATAAATAATTTTATTAATACTAGAATTAAATATATATAATAAGGGATGTTCTTTAAGTATTAAGACAGCATGTTTTAAATTAGTTATTTTGTAATCATACTATTTGCATGCATTTTATATTATAATAGATTTATAAAACTACTTTAAAATAGGTCTGATATTCTCAAAAAGAGGTCTTCTATAAAAAGAAAACACTTTAGTTCTTAGATCCAAACTTATAGTTATTATATAGCACTAGATTTTGTGTTAGTTTGTTTAAAAATACAAACTAGTTTCTGGTTGAATCAGTGGGGCAGGGATAACGGTCCAGATGCACGCCGTAAATCACAGTGCAAGAGACTGGTACGAGAAGAGCTGGGTGTTTCAATATGTCTCACAGGTAATAAAATTAACATTAAGACAGCCCACAAAAAAAAGGCTTAAAAAGCTTTGCTTAGAACAGAGGAGTCAAATTGCTTTCTGCCCGAGTTCGCAATTTCCGGAAAATGCATTTTCTGTGCTTGCTTTCTTTCAACTCGTGCAATTATTTCTGTTTTGTCACGTCTTGGACTTTTTATAATCTGGGTGAGATTGCTTATTGTGACATTCCTTTGTGCATTGATTTTCTCTGGATAAAACTCTAGATATCTGAAGTCTGATGTCGTATGATTGCTCTTTCTCACTGCGCATATTGAGGCTCGAGAATCCGGGATCAGAGGAGAATTAACGAGCTAAATAAAGTTATTCCTCTTTTAATTCTTAACAGTTACCCAAAAATCAAAATGTATTGGGCCAAAAAAACAAGAGTGCCAATAGTTGCTGAGTCCATGACAAGGGATCGCTTTTTCAAGATCAGATGTTCTCTGAAAATCACTAATGATCTTGATGTAACTGAAGAAGAGAGGATGCTAAATATGATTTGGAGAGTCAGTCCACTTCTGAAGAAGGTGCAACAAGGCTGCCTAAACCTACCCAGACCAGAAAATGTTTCCATTGTTCGTTCCATCAATTCGTTCCTGGCAAGCCAAATCCAACCGGATTGAAGGTGTTTGTTCTCGCTACTCCAACTGGAATTGGATTGGATTTTGAAGTCTACCGAGGAAAAAACACCTTCGTCGGCAGAGACACAGGACTTGGAATAGGAGCAAATGCAGTTCTTCGGTTGACTGAGTCCATTCCCAGGGGAACTCACCTGTACTTTGACAGGTATGATGAAAATGTCAACTGTAGTGCTGTTGATAATGATTCTCTGTAAACAAATGAAACTTATTTAACTTTTTTTGTGTTTGTTTCTGTCTGTCTAGGTACTTCACCTCAATAAAACTACTGGATAAATTGCTAGAAATGGGTCTGCCTGCAAGTGGAACACTGATGAAAAATAGACTCCCAAAGGATTGTACCATTACATCTGATGAAGAGTTATTGAAACAAGGAAGAAGCTCCTTCGTAATGGTGACAAGGAAGTATCCTGAGCTGGCTGTGACAAAATGGGTTGACAAAAAACCTGTACTCATGGCATCAACAGTGCATGGAATAGAGCCCCAGTATACCCAGACCAGATGGTCACTGAAAGACAAAAGGCATGTTCAAGTGTCCAGACCTGCAGAGGTGGCAGAGTACAACACCAACATGGGTAGGGTTGATATGTGTGATAGAATGCTTAGCTTTTATAGAATGGCTAACCGCACAAGGAAGTGGACTGTACGCACAATACTACACTTCTTCGATCTGGCCATCACCAGATCGAAGATACCTTACAGTATAAGGAAGACAGCCAAGCTTTGGCACGACCTATGAAGAAAACTCTCCAATACCATGACTTCAAACTGCTCTTAGGTGAGGAACAGATTGCCCAGGGGCAGTCAGGCCAACCCAATCCAATTGAATCTGATGCGTCGAATGATGAGGAGTACGTTCCATCACAGAAGAGAAGGAGGCCCCAGCCAGATAAGGAAGTGAGAAAGTATGGAGCTGTCCATTTGCCACAGATGATGGACAATCCTAATACTTCCAGGTGCAGAGCAGAAGGGTGCACTGGAAAAACCTACATAAAGTGCATCAAATGCAACATGTACCTCTGCATCTCAAAGAAGAACTGCTTTATGGACTACCACAAACCAAAACAGAACTAACACACCTGATTAAACTACACTAATCAACTTTCTTTTGATAAGTTGAATGAGGTGCCTGGAAATCTGAACCACTGGCTTAAATGATGTAGCCTTTTGAAATTTACAGCACTAAAGATTGTCAGAGTTCAGAGGTAAATGTATGCCTCAAAATGTGTTCACATTTGCCACAAGAGAGTCCCGATGTCCTCTCCAAAGGACATACTCTAAAAAATAAATATTTTTTAATTGTAGTGATGTTTTTTCACTCCAAAGAGTCATGTAGTGTAAAAAAAAAAAGAAATTCAAAAACTTCTTTTATTCTGGGTCTCAGGAGGATATGGGGCCCATAATCCTGAAACCACATGGGCCCCACATAGTGTGGCCCATTTCTGCCCCATTCCCATTAGTCCACTTTGTTGCTGCATTTAGCTCAAATGGGCCAGCCCATATGGGTCCCATTTTAGGTAAACCATATGTGTCCCATGCAGTTTGCCCAGATAAAACCCACGCCCAATCATTACCCATGTAGCCCACTTCAAACTCAAGTGGGGCCCCTCATGGGTGCTGGCTGGGTAAGCTATGATTTTGGTTTGCTTCGTCAGGCTTCAAAAGCAAAAAGCCTGAACCTAAAATCCCCCGTTACTTGGTCTCTGACTCTAACGACAATAAACGTTAGAGTGATATTCTTGAAAATACGGTAAAAACATTCTGTTAGAAAAAATGAAAAATGGTTAGACTCTAAACAGCACATTGTTACAAGAAAAATGTCAGAGAATATTGCCCACTTTCATAAGCTAAAGCTAATGTTAGCCACAAAGTTTAAAGAAAGTAAAACTCAACTTCGTGTCTGTGAATGTGTACAGAGGCGTACATCTTAAAACCGTTCCCCAGCTTACTTGTCGGGGCTTATATGTATATATATATATATATATATATATATATATATATATGAAAGTTACACTTTATTTGAGCTTAAGCTTGGTTTTCTATTTCTTTATTTTAGTTTTCCAAGCCTAGATCAGTAAATGCGGCGCAGCTCGGGAGAGGAGACTAGTATCGCGAGATTCATTGTTTTATGTTCTGTTTATTCTGTTCTGAAAACCAAAAGCACGACAATATAAATATATATCTGAAAGCCTCCGAGGAGGCTGGAGAGTGAGCTGGCTTTGCTGTTGCCTAGCTACATAGCATACATCAAATTATTCCACTGATGGACCCTGATGATGTCAAAGTGTTATGATGTCATAAGGGACAGATGACTTGAATATCCAGCACCCGAATCAAAGTTGCACAACTCAAGCAGGAGCACAGACGGTGGATTTTGGATTTAACGTTGCATTTTTTTGTGGTACATCGATCGGTTGGACAGTCAAAATGTCGGCATTTGACATTGATTCGTTAACCAAGTCTCAAATTAAACAAATGACTAGGAATGAATTGATTCTCTTGGTTATGGACTGGTCACAAAGGTTTAGAGACAAACCTGCGGTAGTGATCAAGGAGAACAACCTGCAGGAGGATTTGGAAAAAGCTCATAGACAAATTGGGATTCTAAATGACAAAATTGAGTCAATCACCAAAGAGCTGCACTGGTCTGTCAAGCAAAAAAAATACCTGGAACGGCAGCAAATCCCAAAGTTGAAACACGAGGTAGAGAACCGGAGTTCCAACAAGACTCAGCTGTTGTCTGAGGTAAACCAGTTAAAAAATACAGTCAAAGAGCTTCAAATCTCTTTAAAAAACCTCGACAGGGACTCAAAACTGCAGGTTGAGAAGATTTTGTCAGAAAAGAAGCAAGTGTCGTCTCAACTCACAGCATACAAGGGGAAAATTGAAAAGCAGTATTGTGACATGAAGAGACTTGAGTTTGAGCTCATCCGAAAGACTGACGAAATCGGAATGAAGAACAGTGAGATCATGAGAGAAAAGGACAGGTCCAGACTTCTTGAGGGAAAGATCAAAGCTCTGGAAAAGCAGCTGAAAGAGGCAGAGAAAGAAAATAAAATGAATAAGAAATCACCAGTGGAGGAAGTCACAGAGAAAACTAAGCCAGAGTTTAAACCAAAGATCGATTTGACTTCAGGCGTATTAGCTCAGGAGAAACAGCGAAAGACATCATCAAAACGTCTGATGAGAAGAGATAGACAGATGAGCAAGAACTTGAAGCAGCAGGCGAAGAGCTCCTCCAAGGCCTTAGCCTCACTACCACAGCGACAGGCCATGGTCACAAAGAAAAGTTTGGACTATACATCTCACTTGAAACAGCTGAAGATAGAAACTAAATCGTTCAATTATCAGATAAAGACACCAACTGACGAAAAGCAGAAAGATCAAGGTCACTTTAAAGAATCCACCAACCAAATGTTTACGGTGAGAAAATTGAACATTCAAGAGAGGACGACACACAAACATTCAAAAGAAACTATAAAGACCGAGGCAAAGGCAGAACACAATTTAGCGATGGAAGGACCTAAAATTGAAATTCAAACACAAATGAACGATAAACAAGTCAAAATACAACATCTTGAAAAATCATCCCTCAAGCTAACCAAAACCAAGTCATCAGCTAGAAATCGGAGACTTTTGCTTCTGCGTGAAAGCAAGGGGGAGCTAAATTTGAAAGAAGACCTGACAGCTCAAGAACAGCAGCTGAAACCAACGCCACCGCAGGTAAAGCCAACACCACCGGACATGAATCCAACGCCACCAGTGATTAAACCAACGCCCCCTACGACAAGGATGCCTCAAATGCCACCATTTACACCGGCAGTCAGGATGTTTTTTCTGAGGGAAATTGAGAGGAGACGAAACAGTGGACAACCTGGCGGGAATACCACAGTGAAAGACAAAAGTCAAGATCCCTAGAATATCCCTAGAGGAGGTGAGCTGGTCCTGCTGCGGCTGCAGCAGGACCAGGGGAGAAAGGTGGTGACCTGATCCTGCTGCGGCTGCAGCAGGACCAGGGGAGAAAGGTGGTGAGCTGATCCTGCTGCGGCTGCAGCAGGATCAGGGGAGAGAGGTGGTGAGCTGGTCCTGCTGCGCCTGCAGCAGGACCAGGGGATAAAGGAGGTGAGCTGGTCCTGTTGCGGCTGCAGCAGGACCAGGGAGAAAGGTGGTGACCTGGTCCTGCTGCAGCCGCAGCAGGACCAGGGGAGAGAGGAGGTGAGCTGGTCCTGTTGCGGCTGCAGCAGGACCAGGGGAGAGAGGAGGTGAGCTGGTCCTGTTGCGGCGGCAGCAGGACCAGGGGAGAGAGGAGGTGAGCTGGTTCGGCTGCAGCAAGACCGGTGGACAGCTGAGGAGAGCTGGTCCTGTTGCGGCTGCAGCAGGACCAGGGGAGAGAGGAGGTGAGCTGGTCCAGCTGCGGCGGCAGCTGGACCGGCGGAGAGAGGAGTCGAGCTTGTCCTGCTGCGGCTGCAGCAGGACCGAGGAGAGAGGAGGTGAGCTGGTCCTGTTGCGGCTGCAGCAGGACCAGGGGAGAGGAGGTGAGCTGGTCCTGTTGCGGCTGCAGCAGGACCAGCGGAGGTGAACCAAAATGAGAGAGGTGGTGAGCTGGTCCTGCTGCAGCTGCAGCAGGACCAGGGGAGAGAGGAGTTTAGGTGGTCCTGCTGCAGCTGCAGCAGGACCAGCGGAGGTGATCCAAAATGAGAGAGGAGGTGAGGTGGTCCTGCTGCGGCAGGACCAGGGGAGGGAGGAGTTGAGCTGGTCCTGTTGCGGCTGCAGCAGGACCAGCGGAGAGAGGAGGTGAGCTGGTTCGGCTGCAGCAAAACCGGTGGAGAGCTGAGGAGAGCTGGTCCTGCTGCGGTTGGAGCAGGACCAGCGGAGGAGAACCAAAATGAGCTGGTCCTGCTGCAGCAGGACCAGCGGAGAGAGGTGAGATGGTCCTGCTGCAACCGCAGCAGGACCGTTGGAGAGCTGAGGTGAGCTGGTCCTGTTGCGTCTGCAGCAGGACCAGTTGAGAAAGGAGGTGAGCTGGTCTTGCTGCGGCGGCAGCAGGACCGGCGGAGAGTGGAGGTGAACCGAAATAAGCCGGTCTTGCTGCGGCGGTAGCAGGACCGGTGGACAGCTGAGGTGAGCTGGTCCTGTTGCGGCTGCAGCAGGACCAGGGGAGAAAGGAGGTGAGGTGGTCCTGTTGCGGCTGCAGCAGGACCAGCGGAGGTGATCCAAAATGAGAGAGGAGTTGAGCTGGTCCTGCTGCGGCAGGACCAGGGGAGGGAGGAGTTGAGCTGGTCCTGTTGCGGCTGCAGCAGGACCAGGGGAGAGAGGAGGTGAGCTGGTTCGGCTGCAGCAAGACCGGTGGACAGCTGAGGAGAGCTGGTCCTGCTGCGGTTGGAGCAGGACCAGCGGAGGAGAACCAAAATGAGCTGGTCCTGCTGCAGCAGGACCAGCGGAGAGAGGAGGTGAGATGGTCCTGCTGCAACCGCAGCAGGACCGTTGGAGAGCTGAGGTGAGCTGGTCCTGTTGCGTCTGCAGCAGGACCAGTTGAGAAAGGAGGTGAGCTGGTCTTGCTGCGGCGGCAGCAGGACCGGCGGAGAGTGGAGGTGAACCGAAATAAGCCGGTCTTGCTGCGGCGGTAGCAGGACCGGTGGACAGCTGAGGTGAGCTGGTCCTGTTGCGGCTGCAGCAGGACCAGGGGAGAGAGGAGGTGAGCTGGTCCTGTTGCGGCTGCAGCAGGACCAGGGGAGAGAGGAGGTGAGCTGGTCCAGCTGCGGCGGCAGCTGGACCGGCGGAGAGAGGAGTCGAGCTGGTCCTGCTGCGGCAGCAGCAGGACCGGTGGAGAGAGGTGAGGTGGTCCTGTTGCGGCTGCAGCAGGACCAGCGGAGGTGAACCAAAATGAGAGAGGAGTTGAGCTGGTCCTGCTGCGGCTGCAGCAGGACCGAGGAGAGAGGAGGTGAGCTGGTCCTGTTGCGGCTGCAGCAGGACCAGGGGAGAGAGGAGGTGAGCTGGTTCGGCTGCAGCAAGACCGGTGGACAGCTGAGGAGAGCTGGTCCTGCTGCGGTTGGAGCAGGACCAGCGGAGGAGAACCAAAATGAGCTGGTCCTGCTGCAGCAGGACCAGCGGAGAGAGGAGGTGAGATGGTCCTGCTGCAACCGCAGCAGGACCGTTGGAGAGCTGAGGGGAGCTGGTCCTGTTGCGTCTGCAGCAGGACCAGTTGAGAAAGGAGGTGAGCTGGTCTTGCTGCGGCGGCAGCAGGACCGGCGGAGAGTGGAGGTGAACCGAAATAAGCCGGTCTTGCTGCGGCGGTAGCAGGACCGGTGGACAGCTGAGGTGAGCTGGTCCTGTTGTGGCTGCAGCAGGACCAGGGGAGAAAGGAGGTGAGGTGGTCCTGTTGCGGCTGCAGCAGGACCAGCGGAGGTGATCCAAAATGAGAGAGGAGGTGAGGTGGTCCTGCTGCGGCTGCAGCAGGACCGGCGGAAAGTGGAGGTGAACCGAAATAAGGCGGTCTTGCTGCGGCGGCAGCAGGACCGGTGGACAGCTGAGGTGAGCTGGTCCTGCTGCGGCGGCAGCCGGACCGGCGGAGAGTGGAGGTGAACCGAAATAAGCCGGTCCTGTTGTGGCTGCAGCAGGATGGGTGGAAACCTCACGTGAGCTGGTCCTGTTGCGGCTGCAGCAGGACCAGCGGAGGTGAACCAAAATGAGCTGGTCCTGCTGCGGCAGGACCAGCGGAGAGAGGAGTTGAGGTGGTTCTGCTGCCGCAGCAGCAGGGCCGGCTTATTTCGGTTCACCTCCTCTCTCCACCGGTCCTGCTGCCGCCGCAGCAGGACCACCTCACCTCCTTTCTCCACCGGTCCTGCTGCCGCCGCAGCAGGACCACCTCACCTCAGCTGTCCACCGGTCCTGCTGCCGCCGCAGCAAGACCGCCTTATTTCGGTTCACCTCCACTTTCCGCAGCAGGACTGGCTCAACACCTCTCTGTCCTGGTCCTACTGCAGCCGCAGTAAGACCAGCTCACCTCCTTTCTCCCCTGGTCCTGCTGCCGCCGCAGCAGGACCAGCTCACCTCAGCTGTCCACCTGTCCTGCTGCAGCCGCAACAGGACCAGCTCACCTCAGCTGTCCACCGGTCCTGCTACCGCCGCAGCAAGACCGGCTTATTTCGGTTCACCTCCACTCTCCGCCGGTCCTGCTGCCGCCGCAACAGGACCAGCTCTCCTCAGCTGTCCACCGGTCCTGCTACCGCCGCAGCAAGACCGGCTTATTTCGGTTCACCTCCACTCTCCGCCGGTCCTGCTGCAACTGCAGCAAGACTTGCTCACCTCCTTTCTCAACTGGTCCTGCTCCAACCGCAGCAGGACCAGCTCTCCTCAGCTGTCCACCGGTCTTGCTGCAGCCGAACCAGCTCACCTCCTTTCTCAACTGGTCCTGCTGCAGCCGCAGCAGGACCAGCTCACCTGAGGTTTCCACCCATCCTGCTGCAGCCACAACAGGACCGTCTTATTTCGGTTCACCTCCACTCTCCGCCGGTCCGGCTGCCGCCGCAGCAGGACCAGCTCACCTGAGGTTTCCACCCATCCTGCTGCAGCCACAACAGGACCGGCTTATTTCGGTTCACCTCCACTTTCCGCCGGTCCTGCTGCAACCGCAGCAGGACCAGCTCACCTCCTCCCTCCCCTGGTCCTGCCGCAGCAGGACCACCTCACCTCCTCTCTCATTTTGGATCACCTCCGCCGGTCCTGCTGCAACCGCAGCAAGACCAGCTCACCTCCTTTCTCAACTGGTCCTGCTGCAGCCGCAGCAGGACCAGCTCATCTGAGCTGTCGGCCGGTCTGGCTGCCGCCGCAGCAGGACCGGCTTATTTCGGTTCACCTCCACTCTCCGCCGGTCCTGCTGCAACCGCAGCAAGACTTGCTCACCTCCTTTCTCAACTGGTCCTGCTGCAGCCGCAGCAGGACCAGCTCATCTGAGATGGCGGCCGGTCTGGCTGCCGCCGCAGCAGGCCCGGCTTATTTCGGTTCACCTCCACTCTCCGCCGGTCCTGCTGCCGCCGCAGCAGGACCAGCTCACCTCAGCTGTCCACTGGTCCTGCTGCCGCCGCAGCAGGACCAGCTCACCTCCTTTCTCAACTGGTCCTGCTGCAGCCGCAACAGGACCAGCTCACCTCAGCTCTCCAACGGTCCTGCTGCGGTTGCAGCAGGACCAGCTCACCTCCTCTCTCCGCTGGTTCTGCTGCAGCAGGACCAGCTCATTTTGGTTCACCTCCGCTGGTCCTGCTCCAACCGCAGCAGGACCAGCTCTCCTCAGCTGTCCACCGGTCTTGCTGCAGCCGAACCAGATCACCTCCTTTCTCAGCGCATCTGAGATGGCGGCCGGTCTGGCTGCCGCCGCAGCAGGTCCGGCTTATTTCGGTTCACCTCCACTCTCCGCCGGTCCTGCTGCCGCCGCAGCAGGACCAGCTCACCTCCTTTCTCAACTGGTCCTGCTGCAGCCGCAACAGGACCAGCTCACCTCAGCTGTCCACCGGTCTTGCTGCAGCCGAACCAGCTCACCTCCTCTCTCCCCTGGTCCTGCTGCAGCCGCAACAGGACCAGCTCACCTCCTCTCTCCTCGGTCCTGCTGCGGCCGCAGCAGGACCAGCTCAACTCTTCTCTACCCTGGTCCTGCCGCAGCAGGACCACCTCACCTCCTTTCTCCCCTGGTCCTGCTGCAGCCACAACAGGACCACCTCACCTCCTTTCTCCCCTGGTCCTGCTGCAGCCACAACAGGACCAGCTCACCTCAGCTGTCCACCGGTCCTGCTACCGCCGCAGCAAGACCGGCTTATTTCGGTTCACCTCCACTTTCCGCCGGTCCTGCTGCAACCGCAGCAAGACCAGCTCACCTCCTTTCTCAACTGGTCCTGCTGCAGCCGCAACAGGACCAGCTCACCTCA